TATAATAAATATTTAATAATAAATATAATAAATATTTAATAATAAATATAATAAATATTTAATAATAAATATAATAAATAATATTGATTTATACTGTAATCCCTATATATATTGTAATTTGGCTATGATGACTGGAAATATTGGGAGTTGTAATCCAACACTTCTGGTGTGCCAGATATACACCAGATATAAAGCAAAATCCACTAAGTTACCAAGGGAATTTTTCTTTGCCTTAATGATGTATAAATCAACCCATTAAGGTCTATACCTAACAGTTAGAAATAGTTTTTCTGAAGCAGCAGTGGTGAAAAATAATTACCTTGGAGTTCTTTTTTCATACCTTGATTCCTTTGGGATTATTATTGAATTCTTCAATGATATCCATCCTCTGTTTCGGATTCACTGAACCATCCACTGTAGCATGTTTCAGACCAAGCTTGTCAAGATGTATTGCCACAATTTTTAGCATACTTGTCCACTGAGAAACAACAACACTATAAAGGTAGAAAACCAAAGCAAATGTTTCTGGTTCTAACCATATGTTTCAGAAACGTTCACCCACCTTCTTCGATATCTACACAATGCTGTACAGTCTAGCATAACTGATGTAACAATAAATAAGCACACACACATTTTGTAACACAATGGAAATGGTTATTATGATGCTGGGGAAAAAATGGCGAACCGAAGATGTCTCAGCTAAAAGCAAATTTGACAATTGTGATGGAATGAAAAGCCAACAAGTAGATAATTCCTCTCTGGATTAGGGGAGGATATGAGATCATCCACAAGTGTTTCCACACAGTGTATGACTTGGTTTCTGGCAGGTTTAGAATTTGAAAATTCAAAGGAATGTCAGCTGGCACCTTTAAAAGGACACTGAGTTTGCAGACTTCCTTTTCTAATCATTTTCAGAAATTTTCTTGTAACTATTTTCCAGCTATTAAGAACCTTTGGATCAACATGTTTTACTATACAATGTGAGCTGCCTTCAATGATAAAGACATTTTAAATACAAATTTAAGAACACAATTTTTTTGGGGTGGAGTAAACAACAAAAGGGTGATTAGAACTTTGATTTTGGAACATTAAAAATGGAGTGTCCAGATGGATTTGAAATAATATTTTGGAATTAATTATAAGGCTATATGGGAAAATGCTTTTGTTTTGAATTCATTTTTTTTAATGGCAGGATGAGACTTAGAAAGTTGGTCATTAGAGCAGAGTTCCCCAATCTTTTCAGATTTGCGGATCAATGGGAGAGGAGAGGGGGCTGGTTCTGTGCGCATGGCAGGAAAGCAACCACGTACACACTTGCCCACTGCTCACACGAGTGGGGATGCATGCACACACATGCTTGCCACTTCCACAGCCCAGTTCTGGAACACTCAAGGTCTGTTAGTGGGCCACAGGCTGGAGGTTG